CCGTCCGCTGGGCTCTGTCATGCGAGGGATTGCCGGCCGGCAGCGGCGGCGCGGGCGCTGGTTCCTGCGTCCGGATCGAGGGAAACGCCGGGAGGGTTGGGCTGCGTGTGCCTGCCGTTTAGAAACGGGGGGGTGCGGGACAGGCGGCTTACTTCTTCACGTCAGGTTTTCTTCCACGCACAAAAATGTGGGGGTTTTGTTGCCACGTTTTTGTCACATCTTCCAATTTAGGGACTTGTACTGTAAGTCTGTATGGTTCTGTTTTTAATCCTAAATTGGGGCTTTTTTTCTGTTTTCTGCTGACCTTCAAATAAAGAAAAATAGGATAGCGTTCCTATCCACCGAAAAGAGATTGGGTTGTAATATTTCTGAAATGTGTTTGTGAAATCTCACTGATGGGCCGTAGCAGTACTGCAGTATTTGAGGGAGGGAAGGCAATTTTGCGGAACATGCTGAGAAGTTACATAAGACATAACAATGATTACACTCTTTGAATTCCTTTGCATACAAAATATGTTTACGCTTGGCTTCCAGAAAGGCAAACTTTCATAACAATTCTACATAAATGCTACATGAAAAATAAAGGAAATGGAGTGTAGCAGCCCATTTGTGCGTGCTGAGTAAGGAAATGCTGGTAGTGTCTATTTCTAGAAAATGTAGTGTCTGTTTCTAGAAAGTGGTAGCTGTCAGTTGTGATACCTGTGGGCGCTGCCAGAGCCCGATGTTTTGCAGTGCTGTGCAGCGTGAGCCTCCTGGTGAACAATTCCTTGGGCATGGGAGAGTCCAATTTCTGAAAAGCTCTAGCCAGTTCTTTCAGCATCCTATTTAAGAAGAGCAGAATAGAGACAAAAGTCAGTGCGTATTGAATGTGTGCGGGACAACACAAGAGCATTTCAGAGGCACCAGTTTTTCTCCTTCAGGGTGGAATGTTGGAGCAGAGGACAGCCTTCCAGGTAGGTAGGTGGAGGAGTTGTAATTAAATACAGAAGGCATAACTGTGCCCTTGGGTCCCCAAGAGTCAGTATTAGAACAAGGGAGCAGTGCTGGGTAAGCTGTGACACCAAATGGCAGCCACGCAAGCTTGTGCGGTGTGAGTATTTTAGATGGAAGATGCCAATACCGTTGTGGTGAGGTCAGCCGTGTCCTAACAACTTCCTGTGTGTTGGCCCTCTTAATATTTAAATTAATCTTGGAGGTGCGGACTGACTGGCCTAGACTTTAGCTGAAATGGGCGCCTTCGTGCCAATAGCCCCATCTCGGAGCAGTGCTGCCTGAGGCTGCCGGCAAGGATGAGCTTTAACGCTGAACTCCATGCAGGTGTGACAATGTGCAGAACTATACGTGTACACATGGTAGCCCAGGTGTCCTGTAGCGGGCAGGCGTGGCAGCAGTAGTACCTCATGGTGGAATTGGAAGAATGAAGTGTGTTTGAAGGTGGTCTCACCAGGGCAAGTGGAGGTAAAGCCCTGGAGGGGCAGAGGAGAGAATGTTGCAGCTGAGGTGGGAAAAGCAACTGCTAAGGTACACAGAAGTCTTGCCAGACTCGGACAACCGAAATAAATTACAAAAGGTGACAAAAACAGAGAACCCGTGACTACTTTGGCTATGTGACCACTTTGAATTTTACTTGGGCTTCTGCAGTGCGCCGTCTCCAGGTTAGTGAGGTTCCCTGGTTATCTGACCATCAGTTCACTGAGATCGCACAAGAGGCGTTGCATATCACGGCTTAGTTCTGCTGTCTGTCTGTGACAGAACAGGCTCTTTGTCTCGATTGCTGACTTCTTGCCTGCTATCCTGATTTATCCTATTGGCAGGAACACGTGGCGCCAGTAGGCTGGCTCAAGACTGCTGGAAAGTAGAAATCTTTGGCTAAAAGGAGAGTCAGGTGGTGTCTGCGATCTGTATACCTATTGTCTGGCTTGTGCTGGAGCTACTGATAGCGGGAGTGTCACTGTTCCCCTGGCACTAATGACGCCAGCGGTAGGTGAGAGGTGGCATCCTTTGCAGAAATGTGTTTTAGGAGGCGGCAAGGCAAGCTGGGAGCAGAGGGTGACAGCAAGGTGGCATGGCATTGGCTTCACTACCAAGCAGGAGCAACCCTGCAAGCACCCAAACAAGAAGAGCAAAGCAGGTCTGATGGTGGTTATGAGTGAGTTTCAGCTAAGAGTACTGGTTGGCAGTGACAACGCAAGTGACCGTAGTGACAAGGAGCTCTGAGGTCAAGCCAGCAAGCCAGGGTCAGCGTCAGGTTCGGTGGCAATAACCAGGGCCAGCCAGCCACCGGTCCAGTCATCGTCGGACAAGCCCGTGGTGACAGGGAGGATCTGAGATCAGCCCAGGTGGGTCAGGGTCTGGACCAGCGCCATGGGGCTATCTGTAACACAACTCGGGCAAGGACCATGAGAGAGTGCTTCAGTGTAAGCGCAGCTCCTGAGCAGAAGTCAGAAGCTCTCGCTTCTTACAGCTCTTTTCTCACACAGCAGCCTGGTCCGAGGCTGTTTGGCTGCACCACGGCAGAGCTGCCTCCAAGCACAGGCACCTTAATGCTGACGAAGGCCCCAAGAAAAGGTCTAAAGAAGAACTTCAGCCCAGCTGAGGGACATAGGTATGCAACTGAGTCAGTATTGTGGCTTAGTAAGTATTTGTATGCCAGAGTTTGTTTTAAAGACGTGTAAACCATCATTGTATTTTATGAACAATTGGAGGCATGGCCAGGCATACTCTGTTTACACCATTAAATGCTGTAAAGAAGTCAGAAATGAGGGAATTGCATGAATCCTTGATTCATATGGGTGTTTTCCTTTACTCTTTTGACATGATGCTTCTGCTATCTTCGCAGACAAAATCCTTTGGATTTTCTTTTTTTCTTGCTGCCGTTCCTTAGAATACAACTCTCTTCAGACACAGAGGAGAATCCCAGCCTCATGCTGGTTGCCTTGAATTGCACAATCAACTTTTTCACCGTCATTAAAAGATCTCAGAACCAAGAAAAGAATCCAGAGCTGGAAGACTGGCCATGCTAAGGCAGTCCCTGGATACGTACTCCAAAATGCTTGTGTTTCTCTTGACCTACCGGGACTGACAGGCTTTCGGAGTGTGAACCTGTTATCGGTGCCACAGTCCTGTCTCTGGAACGCTTAATGCTCCAAATGCTGTCAGCACCAATGTATAGCCTTACTGCCCCAAATAATTCTGCCTCTAACAAATTACAGCCGCAGCCCCTCTCCGTTCAGCTGCAGTTGCTGCAGTGGTATGCTGGTTGGGACTTGCTTAACTCTGTAGGCAAAGGCAACTCATTCATTTCCTTCGCATAGGTAGGGCACCCGATTTGGTATCTGGAGAGAAAGACTAAGACTTGGGAGGGAAAGCTCATGCCAGGTCTTCACTGGGAAGGTGCTCAGATGGATGCGTGTGCTTCCTGGCATACATGCAAGATGTACCTGACCAGTTCTTACA